TTCAGGGAACCTGAGTCATGGGATTTTGACCCAGAAACAGCTATGGAAAAGACACAGGCATGAGGTTCAGGCTGCATGGCTCAAAACCTTCGGGTTCTTGCTAATCGCGCCAAGGCCGGGCGCGATTAGCAAAAACCCGATGCTTTTTGTCGACTCTACTTTGCAGGCTGCTCACACACATTAATGTCAATTCTCGAGCTCATTCATATATATATATATGTGTATTTATGGATATGTATAAATGCATATATGCACATATGTATATATATATATATATATATATATATATATATATATCGGAGGTGAGAGGGTGAGATCGAAGTGGAACGGAGAGCCCCCCTACCGGGAAATCGATTTCGGTTTCGTGTTCGTGCGTGCCGTGCGTGCGGGCGAGGCGAAGTTGCGTGGGCGGGCGAGAAGAAAGTCTCCTGTGGCTGAGGCGCGGCCGGACCAAATAACTCCGTTCCGGCAACCGGTGGCCCGCCGTGTCCATCTGGTGTCCCGCTGTGGCTGAGGCGTGGCCGGACCGAATGACTCCCTTCCGGCGTCCGGTGGCCCGCGGTGTCCCGCCAGAGTCCCGCCGGTGTCAGATGATGATGATTATGTCGATGATGTTGATGATGGAGATGATGATGTTGATGATGGTGATGGTGGTGATGATGGTGGTGTTCCGATGATGATGGTGATGATGATGATGATGGTGATGATGTTGGTGATGGTGGTGATGATTATGATGATGATGATGATGATGACGATGATGATGATGTTGATGCTGATGATGATGTTCATGATGATGTTGGTGATGGTGGTGATGATTATGATGATGATGATGATGATGATGATGATGATGATGATGATGATCATGGTGCTGTAAATGATGATGATATGATGATGGAATGATGATGCTGATGAGAAAGATGATGATGATGGTGTCCCGATGATGATGATGATGATGATGTTGGTAATGGTGGTGATGATTCTGATGATGATGATGACGATGATGATGATGTTGATGATCATGGTGCTGTTGATGATGATAAGATGATGATGAAATGATGATGCTGATGAGGAAGAAGATGATGATGGTGTCCCGATGATGGTGATGATGAGGATCATGATGCTGTTGATGATGGTGATGATGATGGTGTCCCGATGATGATGAGGATGATGATGAGATGATGATGATGATGATTTTGATGATGGTGGCCCGATGATGGTGATGCTGATGATGCAGATGTTGATGATCATGATGGTGCCCCGATCATGATGATGATGGTGATGATAATGATGATGATGATGATGAGGTTGATGATGATGTTGACTATGATGACTTTGATGGTGTCCCGATGATGATGATGTTGATGATAACGATGCTGATGAGCTGACGATGATGAGTTTGATGATGGCGGCCCGATGGTGGTGATGATGATGCTGATGTTGACGACGAGGATGGTGTCCCGATGATGATGATGATGATGATGATGATGATGATGATGATGATGATGATGACGGTGACGATGATGATGGTGTCCCGGTGATGATGATGATGATGTTGATGATGATGTTGATGATGATGTTCATGACGATGATGATAATGATGATGATGGTGTCGTGATGATGATGATGATGATGATGTCGATGCTGTTGTTCATGATGGTGATGACGATGCTGAGATGATGATGGTGATGGGATGATGATAATAATGAGGATGGTGTCCCGATGATGCATTGTGTTCCGATGATGCTGATGATGATGATGATGCTGTTGATGACGTTGATGGCGATTATGTTGTTGGTGATGATGATGATGATGATGATGATGACGTTGATTGTGAGATCGGTTGTGATATCGATTTTGAGATCGATGGTGAGACCGAATGTGAGATCGACTGTGAGATCGATAGTGAGATCGATAGTCAGTTCGATAGTGAGATTGATCGAATGCAATAGATCGAGTGAGATTAATCGAGTGAGATCGATCGAGCGAGACCGATAGTGAGATCGATAGTGAGATCGACAGTGAGACCGATCGAGTGAGACGTTGGTTCCTCCCCCCCTCGAACCTTCTTATCACCCGAAGGGTTGTCGTATGGGTAGATATATGTATCGAGATGCATCTACATATATAGGTATATGTGTATACACACATATCAGAGTGAGGGGGCCGAACGGTCATTCACTGTCCCTGGGTGCGTGGCTGAAGTGGGATTTCGCGGTGCGGATTCGTGTTGGTGTTGTTGTTTGTTGTTGTTTGTTGCTGTTGGTGTTGGTGTTGGTGTTGTTGCTGTTGTTGTTGTTGTTGTTGTTGTTGTTGTTTGTTGTCGTCGTCCCACCCGCAACCCGCCCCGCGACCCACACGCGACCCATCCCACGACCCACCCGCGACCCACCCGCGACACACCCGCGACCCACCCGCGACCCACCCCGCGACCCACCCCGCGACCCACCCCGCGACCCACCCCGCGACCCACCCGCGACCCACCCCGCGACCCGCCCCGCGACCCACCCGCGACCCACCCGCGACCCACCCGCGACCCACCCCGCGACCCGCCCGCAGCCCACCCCGCGACCCACCCGCGACCCACCCGCGACCCACCCGCGACCCACCCGCGACCCACGCGACCGCGACCCAAACCACGTTCAAGGTACAAACCAACATTTTCGGCCTTGCGGCGGGCTTTGTTGCATTCCTTCCAGGTGGAGAGCCCGCGACCCACCCCGCGACCAACTCGCGACCAACCCGCGACCCAAACCACGTTCAGGGTACAAACCACATTTTTCGGCGCCTGCGGCGGGCATCTTTTGTATTCGTTCTAGGTGGAGAGACCGCGGCCCACCCGCGACCACGTTCAGGGTACAAACCACATTTTTCGGCGCCTGCGGCGGGCATCTTTTGCATTCGTTCCCGGTGGAGAACCCGCGGCCCACCCGCGACCCAAACCACGTTCAGTGTACAAACCAAATTTTTCGGCGCCTGCGGCGGGCTGCTTTTGCAGGAGGACGAGGAGGAGGAAGGAGGAGGAGGAGAGGAGGAGGAGGAGGAGGAGGAGGAAGGGGACGACGACGACGACGTCGACGACGACGACGACGAAAAGGAGGAGGGGGGAGGATCGGGAGGGGGGGGGAGAGGAGGAAGCTGACGAGGAAACAGACGACAATGGGAGGGCGATGATGGAAGGACGAGGGGGAGAGAGGGAGACGATGAGAAGAGGTGGAGGAGAGGAGACGACGAGGTGGAGGAGGAGGACGACGATGAGGACGAGGACGAGGACGAGGAAGGAGGAGGAGGAGGAGGAGGAGGAGGAGGGAGGAGGAGGAGGAGGAGGAGGCGCCATCGACAGGGAAGGTGGGGGCCACGAGGTCCGCCGGCTTGACGACGCCCGCGTCGCCCGCGCCCGCCCCCTCACTCTTATCCGCAATTGCGGGGTGCTACGTACATACATGTGTGTGTGTATATATATATATATATATATAGATGTATCGATACCGGAGTAGGCCGGGTTCGGGGCGGGCCGCTAATTGTACCCCCCATGGGCGCCCTCGAGCTTTTGGGGGTTCTGGGGGGTCCCAGAGCTCCCGAGACGGCCCAGGCCCGCCCCGAAACGGGCCACGACACGCCAAGTGGGTCCCAAGAGGGTCCAAGACGGCCCCAAAAGGCCCCGAAGACGCCCGAGATGCCTTCAAGACGACCGACAAGGACTCCAACGCGCCCCAGGGCGGACCCAAGGGGCTCACCAGGGAGGACCTAGGAGGCAAAATGTCTGGTTCCATGGTTTTTGAAGGATTTCAGCGTTCTCGCTTTTCTCCGTTCCCAGCGCTCCCTCACGGCCTCGGAGGCCCTTCAGATCGCTACAAGACAGCCCACGAGGCTCCGAAGAGGGCCCCAAGACAGCCCAAGAGGCCCCCCAGACAACCCAAGTGTGCCCCAAGAGGGTGCCCAGAGGGGGACCGCTAACCGATATTTCGAAGTCTCTGGCGCTAGAGGCCCCCCAGTAGGCCCCCGGAGGCCACCAAGAGGCTCCCACGAAGCCCCGTGAGGTCCCCAAGAGGCTCCCAGAAAGCCCCAAGGGGCCCCCAGGGAACGCCCAAGACGCCCCCCAGCACACCCCGACAAATTATGTCCCCAGAAAGTCTTCCAGCATGCTTCATCATGGGCCCAGGAGTCTCCAGAGGATTCGAAGTACCATCGCGCTACGGGATAGTTGTCTGGAAAGTTGACTGGGAACATAATCCCCTTCTCGCGGCCTTCCGCGGATCGTTTCGCACAAAGTTGCCCCAAGTGCCCTCTTGAACCGACGACGACGACGAAGACGTCGAAGACGACGAAGCGACGAAGACGACGACGACGACGACGACGACGACGACGACGACGACGACGACGACGACGACGACGACGACGACGACGACGACGACGACGACGGCGCGCCTCAAGAGGCGACGACGACATTATAACGACGACGGCACGCCCCAAGAGGCTCCCTCCCCAAGACGCCCCCAAAACCCATGTTCCCAAAAGGCCTTCAGGGAACCCGATTCATCAGGCCTCCGCCCCCCTACGCAACCATCTTCCCTGAAGGCCTTCCAGAATTTGGATTGACACGCATGGACTTCGCATTGCCCGTTCAAACCATCTGTGGTCCACTGCTTCAGTGGAGCAGTGAACGCGTCAAGGCTTGGGGCCTGCTAGAACCTGAGCGCGCGCGAAGCGCGCTCGATGGCTATAGTAACATATATTGCAGGACGTATATTGCACATCACATATTCCACCACGCAGATCTCACCGCATAGATTGCACCATGTGGATTGATAGAAGTACTGTTTGGGGTCCACGCTGTGATTATCTAGTTTCACTGTAGGGCCCACCAATGGCTAATCGTGACCGGTTTTGCTCCGAAACGCTGTTTTGGGTCAGCGGCTGGACCATGATCGTGTCAAAACGCTTTTACAACGAAATCGGCACGGAAAACGAACAGCTCTGATTATTTGGTCAGCCCTTGCGAGGTGCCCAACGGTCTCGGCGCTCTGTCGAAGGTACCCGCGCTTGGCTGGCTGCAGATCATCCTGCTCGCCGGCGTGACCGAGGTCCAGATCTACAAGGACACGGTCAACGGCGAGCCCGGCAACTACGGCGCTGGCTTCCTGGGTTGCAAGAGCATCGGCCTGACCAGCCCCGGCTTCGCAGACCCCGAGGTTCAAAGAACAATACACGGAGCACACACATGTTTGAGAGCTGCACGCGGGTTTCTTGGATCGGCGCTGGCTCCCCCTCCCTGTCGCGCGGGGCGCGCCAGGGGCGGCGCGGGAGGCGCCGTCAGGGGGATCCAGCGCCGATGCAAGAAACCGGCGCGGGCCTCCGAACTTTTCTGTGTATGCCGCTTGTTTTTCCTCTCCAAGGTGCGGAAGGCGAAGCTGAACGCGGAGCTGGCCAACGGCCGCCTGGCGATGATGGCCATCATCGGCATGTTCTTCCAGGACGGCCTTACGGGCTCCGCCTGGGGCGACTGGGCCCTCTACACCGACTCCCCGCTGCGGTGAGGCTGCCCCAACTCTGCCTTCCGTCCCTCCTCCTGGCGCTACATCAAGGGTAACGATGGGGGGAACGGATCAATTTGGGACACACCGACACCCAATCGCTTATTCATCCCCGACCGGGGCCCGATAGCCCTCTCCCTCCAGGAGCGTGCGGATTCGCTACCGAGGGCAAGTCGCCGGCGTGTTGACGATGTATCGCTGATGTCAGGTCGATTCTTCTCCCCCTGAGAGGGTCCCCCCCTGTCCGCCTCATTTTGGCAGGTCCCCCTCCTCCTCCAGCGCACCATTTCTCCGATCCATTAGGCCCGCAGGTGTTCTGAAGAGGGCCACCGAGAGAGAGCACGACTGTTTAAACGCGGTGGCTGGTGTGAGTCTGAGGCACCTAGGGGAGGAATCGCCTCCCAGCTGGTGTGTCCACCGCCGTTTTTTCGGACGGCCAGCATCGGCGCGGTGCACCAGGTTGGATCTAGGAGCGAGTGCAGTATGACGGACGCATGCTGTCCCTGACGAAAGGTCAAATGATCCCAAAAGTTGAATCTCCTCGCATGGGCCCCCTCGCACGGCTCGTCGGCCGCCCCGGACCAGGTCGGAGGAGACACGCAGCTTAGCACGCGTGGCCCTCCAGGGCCCTGCCACAGCCCGGAAGTTGCCTTGCTCGGCTGAGCGCGCCTGGGCCAACTACGCCGCGGAAGATACAAAGACGCACAATGTGGCCGCAGCGCGGCCCCGTGGCCGCATGTGATGGCGTTTTGTGGCGGTCGTTGCTCTCCAGTTCAAGACGTTGCAGTAAGCCCTTGCAAGTTCAGGAGGTGCTCTGGCTTTGGCCGCTCCTCAGATCTAGGTCGGGGAACCCCCTTCGTGGCCGAGGCTCGCCGTTGCCTGAAGAGCCCCCTCGTTCCTGACTCAGCGCCCCTTCTGGTACAGTCGAGGCTGATCAGTAGGCCGACCCTGCCAGATCAAGGGTGCCCTTGTGTCCCGTGTTTCGCGACCCATGCCTCCTACATTCCTATGGCAGTGTAGCCCTCGGAAGGGTCTTGTGCCCTCTTGCGTGCCCTCTCCAATCCGCCTCGGCCGTAGCACGATGATTGCACCTGGGCCCCCTGCGAACTCCCTCCCGCTTTGCCCCCCGGGGCGGAGGGGGGGCGCGAGGGGCCCACTCCGCTCTCGCGCTTCGCCCCCTCGCTCCGCCCCTCCATGCCTCCCATCTCCCCTCCCTCCTTCCGTCCTCCCTCCGTCTCTCCTCCTCCGTCCTCTCTCCTCTCCTCTCCCTCCCCCCTCCTTGTGTCGCCTGTCCCTTGCTCTCCCTCCCCACCCCATCGCGCAGCCGTTTTGGCTCGAGGAGTTTTTGAAAACAAGCTGCCTGTCACCTCCCTTGGCTTTTTCCATTCCCGCGCAGCGATGAAGGGCGCCGCGATCACCTCCGCCGCCGTGGCCTTTGGCCTCGGTGCCTCGACCACCGCCTTCCTGAGCCCCCACATGGGCGCCGGCCGCACGCAGGCTCCGAGCACGGAGAGGCGACGCCACCACCGCCAGGAGGGGGCGCCACCTCCAGCGAGGGGGGTGCACACGGTGCCCCCCCCCCCCGAGCCGGGGACAGCGCACCTGTCGCGCGAGAGCGGGGTGTTGGGGACGGGGGCACACCACCGGGAGGAGCCCCCTTCCGGCGCCTCGCGCTGGTGGTGGTGCCGTCGCCTTTCCAGACATTGTAGTGTCTCGATCTGGGTTCCCAGACGGGGTCCTCAGAGGTCCACGCTCACCTGGGGCCAGTCTCTCGCCCCGCATCCATCTGGCAGGGGCCCTGGGGCCCGAGCGCGCGCCCCGGAGGCCGACACCAAATCATCCCGTCGGAGACCTGAGCTCCTGGGCCCTGCAGGCGCCCCTGGCGCAGGCCGGCGCCGAGCCCGCGGAGCTCCGCGGCTCCGCGGCCTCGGAGCCCGCGCGCGGCGCCGCGGCAACCGGCCTCGCCGCGGCCGGCTGCGTCGCCGCCCTGGCCGGCCTCGTCGCGCGGCAGTCGCTCTCCGCGCCGAAGAAGCCGTCGAAGCCCCGCCAGGTCCGGCTGCAAGTAGCAGAGTGAACCTTCGCCGGAGTGGGCGTCGGTTCTCGGCGGTGCAAGGGGGTGCTCGGAGGAGCCCGGAGGTCCTCAGAGCCCTCTCGGAGCTCCTCGGGGCTTCTCGAAGCTTCTCGGAGGGTCTCTCGAAGCTTCTCGGAGGGTCTCGAGGGTTTCAGAGTTTCTCGGAGGTCTTCGGAGGGTCTCGGAGGGTCTCGAGGGTTTCTCGGAGGGTCTCGGAGGCTCGCCGAGCTTCTCGGGGGGCTTCGAGCCCCCTGATACCGTCCAGCGCCCAGATCGTCCCGAGCGGCCGCCGGAGAGAGCCGAGTTCTCTGACCCGACAACGCAAGTGGCAGTGTTGGGGAGTATATGCTCAGGGGGGATTCTTCATCCCCCAATCGCCACACGACCGCCGATCGGGGCCTGACGGCCCACCCCGCCCAGGCACGTGCGGGTTCGCTATCGGGGGCCAAGCCCAAGCACGCACGCCGCCACTGTCGCACCGCATGCAACCATCGGCAAGCCGCCTCCAGGGCCACACTGGCGTGCAGCCGACAGGTGGCCATGACCGCTTTCGAGAGCGAGACCGGCGTCCAGGCCCCCGTCGGCTACTGGGACCCGCTGGGGCTCAGCGCGGACGGGGACGTGGCGACCTTCAAGCGTCGCCGGGAGACCGAGCTGAAGCACGGCCGCGTGGCAATGTACGCCACGATGGGCTACATCACGCCGGAGTTCTACAAGTGGCCGGGCTACCTGAGCCCTTCTTCTGGGCTCAAGTTCGCGGACGTGCCGAACGGGCTGGCCGCCTGCAGCAAAGTGCCCGCCGTGGGCTGGCTCCAGATCATCCTCTTCGCCGGCGCCTTCGAAGCGGGCTTCGGCTACGACGCCTACACTCGTGGTGGCGAGCCCGGCAATTACGGCTGGAAGGCGCTCACGTCGGATGACCCCGCAGTCCTGAAGAGGAAGCTGAATTCCGAGCTGGCGAACGGGCGCCTGGCCATGATGGCCATCATCGGCATGTTCTACCAGGACGGCCTCACAGGCTCCGCGTGGGGCGACTGGGCAAACTACGCCGATTCGCCGCTGCGCGCCTTCGAGAGCGAGCTGGGGGTGCAGGCGCCCGTCGGCTTCTGGGACCCCGCCGGCCTCAGCAAGGACGGCGACGCGGCGGCCTTCAAGCGCCGCCGCTCCACCGAGATCAAGCACGGCCGGGTCTCCATGCTGGCGACGATGGGTTACATCACCCCCGAGGTGGCGGGCAAGTTCCCGGGCTACCTTAGCCCTTCCAAGGGTCTCGCTTTCGAGGACATCCCCAACGGATTGGCTGCCATCTCCAAGGTGCCCTTCGTGGGATGGCTCCAGATCGTCATCTACTGCTTGTACGTTGAGGCGTCTGGACTTGGCTTCAACTACATCGGCACGGAGGCGACCCCGGGCGACGTGGGCTGGAAGCCGCCGCTGCTTTCTGGCTTCGATGGCGAGGCGAAAACGAAGAAGCTGAACGCGGAGATCGCCAATGGCAGGCTGGCAATGATGGCGATCATCGGGATGTTCTTTCAGGATGGTTTGACCGGCAGCGCGTGGGGTGATTGGGCCCTCTACACGGACTCGCCGCTCCGCGCGTTCGAGAGCGAGTTGGGCGTGCAGGCGCCGCTGGGCTTCTGGGACCCGCTGGGGCTCTCAGCCGATGGCGATGTGACGTCCTTCAAGCGCCGCCGATCTGTGGAGATCAAGCACGGCAGGATCTGCATGATGGCGACCATGGGCTACATTACGCCGGAGGTCGCTGGAAAGTGGCCTGGTTTCATCAGCAAGTCCGAAGGATTGAAGTTCGCCGACATCCCGAACGGGTTGGCGGCCATCTCCAAGGTGCCGGGATTGGGCTGGCTGCAGATCGCGTCTTGGTTTGCATTCTGTGAGATCCAGCAGGGCTACGACGCAGACGCCAAGGCCGAGCCAGGCAATGTTGGGTGGAAGCCGCCTCTGCTTGTTTCCGCCGACCCTGAGACACGAAAGCGCAGGCTGAACGCTGAGATCGCAAACGGCCGGCTTGCCATGATGGCCATCATCGGCATGTTCTTCCAAGACGGTCTTACTGGGTCTGCCTGGGGTGACTGGGCCAATTACACGGACTCGCCGCTCCGTGCGTTCGAGAGCGAGCTCGGTGTGCAACCGCCAGTGGGCTTCTGGGACCCGGTCGGCTTCACCAAGGACGGCGATGTTGCTGCCTTCAAGCGCAGGCGGGAGACAGAGATCAAGCATGGCCGGGTCTCTATGCTGGCCACGATGGGGTACATCACCCCCGAGGTGGTCGGCAAGTTTCCGGGTGAGCTCTCTCCCAGTCTCGGAGTCAAATACGCGGATATCCCGAACGGCCTTGCCGCCCTTTCTAAGGTGCCAGGCCCTGGTTGGCTGCAGATCGTGGCGTATTGCCTCTACTGCGAGTCTGGGCCGTTCGGTTACAACGCTGACCCCAACAGGAAGCCCGGGGAGCTCGGCTGGAGGCCGATCGGCTTGTACAGCGCTGACCCCCAGGTGCGGCAGCGCAGGCTGGCTGCCGAGATCGCAAACGGCCGCCTTGCCATGATGGCCATCATCGGCATGTTCTTCCAAGACGGTCTTACTGGGTGTGCCTGGGGTGACTGGGCCAACTACACGGACTCGCCGCTCCGTGCGTTCGAGAGCGAGCTCGGTGTGCAACCGCCGGTGGGCTTCTGGGACCCGGTCGGCTTCACCAAGGACGGCGATGTTGCTGCCTTCAAGCGCAGGCGGGAGACAGAGATCAAGCATGGCCGGGTCTCTATGCTGGCCACGATGGGGTACATCACCCCCGAGGTGGTCGGCAAGTTTCCGGGTGAGCTCTCTCCCAGTCTCGGAGTCAAATACGCGGATATCCCGAACGGCCTTGCCGCCCTTTCTAAGGTGCCAGGCCCTGGTTGGCTGCAGATCGTGGCGTATTGCCTCTACTGCGAGTCTGGGCCGTTCGGTTACAACGCTGACCCCAACAGGAAGCCCGGGGAGCTCGGCTGGAGGCCGATCGGCTTGTACAGCGCTGACCCCCAGGTGCGGCAGCGCAGGCTGGCTGCCGAGATCGCAAACGGCCGGCTTGCCATGATGGCCATCATCGGCATGTTCTTCCAAGACGGTCTTACTGGGTGTGCCTGGGGTGACTGGGCCAACTACACGGACTCGCCGCTCCGTGCGTTCGAGAGCGAGCTCGGTGTGCAACCGCCGGTGGGCTTCTGGGACCCGGTCGGCTTCACCAAGGACGGCGATGTTGCTGCCTTCAAGCGCAGGCGGGAGACAGAGATCAAGCATGGCCGGGTCTCTATGCTGGCCACGATGGGGTACATCACCCCCGAGGTGGTCGGCAAGTTTCCGGGTGAGCTCTCTCCCAGTCTCGGAGTCAAATACGCGGATATCCCGAACGGCCTTGCCGCCCTTTCTAAGGTGCCAGGCCCTGGTTGGCTGCAGATCGTGGCGTATTGCCTCTACTGCGAGTCTGGGCCGTTCGGTTACAACGCTGACCCCAACAGGAAGCCCGGGGAGCTCGGCTGGAGGCCGATCGGCTTGTACAGCGCTGACCCCCAGGTGCGGCAGCGCAGGCTGGCTGCCGAGATCGCAAACGGCCGCCTTGCCATGATGGCCATCATCGGCATGTTCTTCCAAGACGGTCTTACTGGGTGTGCCTGGGGTGACTGGGCCAACTACACGGACTCGCCGCTCCGCGCGTTCGAGAGCGAGCTCGGTGTGCAGGCGCCAGTGGGCTTCTGGGACCCTGCTGGATACTGCAAGGACTCGGTATCCGTTAACCGATCCCTCTCCGCATCCGCATCCCGAGCCTCACCATCCCACCACCCCAGTTTGGGGCGTGCCCCTCGAAACCCGAAGGGAACACCTGGATGGGTACGCCCGTGAGCCTCGCAAGGCCTCGCGAATGGGATCGCCCCCGCCGCCCCCCTGTGGTCGAGGCCCATTGTGGGCGTGGCGGGGTGGAGGGTGCCAGTGCACCCCCCCTCTCTCCCACTGCGGCTGTGGGGTGGTTCGTCGTCGCCGTCGCACTCGTGCCGTCGTCGTCGTCGTCGTCGTCGTCGTCGTCGTCGTCGTCGTCGTCGTCGTGGTCATTTTTCTACGACAAACCCTCACAACAGCTCAACAAGGATAAACATATTCATATGTACAAACCTGTGCGGAACATCGTCGTGGTGGTCGTCGTCGTCGTCGCCGTCTTCGTTCGTCGGCGTCGGCGGAGTTGGCATTGGCGTCGGCGTCGGCGTCGTCCCACCGCCATCCCATTATGGGGGGCTGTGAACCCTCGACCCGGGATCATATGTCCCCATCTAGGGGGGGCAAGTCGGCCAGTGGGGCCCACGCCGCGCCGGTGGGGACATGGATCGGCGGCCAAACGACGCCCCAGGACGGGGACGCCGACAACTTCACCCGCCGCCGGGTCACTGAGATCAAGCACGGCCGGGTCTCCATGATAGCGTGCATCGGGTACATCGTGCCCGAGTACTTCAGGTTTCCCGGAGACTGCGCGCCCAGCCAGGGCCTCGCATTCTCCGGCATCCCCAACGGCCTGGCGGCGTTGGGCAAGGTGCCTGCCGTGGGCTGGGCTCAGATGTTCCTGTTTGCGGGAATGATCGACTTTGGATACCTGCAGTACGACCCCAGCAGGGGCCCCGGCGACTACAAGAACGCAGGGGTCTTTGGCGTCCTCAACGGCGGCGGGTGGGGCCCGATGCAGAATGCGGAGGCAAGGAAGACGAAGCTGAACGCTGAGCTTGCGAATGGTCGTCTTGCCATGATGGCCATCATCGGCATGTTTTTCCAGGACGGCCTCACCGGATCCGCCTGGGGCGATTGGGCCCTCTACACGGACTCGCCGCTGCGCGCCTTCGAGAGCGAGCTGGGCGTGCAGGCGCCGACCGGCTTCTGGGACCCCCTGGGCTACACGAACGATGGCAGCGTGGAGAACTTCCAGCGCCGCCGCTCCACAGAGATCAAGCACGGGCGCGTGGCCATGTACGCGACCATGGGCTACATCTTCCCAGAGTACGTCAGGTTCCCCGGCCTGCTGAGCCCCTCGGCCGGCCTGAAGTTCGCCGACGTGCCCAACGGCCTCGCCGCGCTCTCCAAGGTGCCAGCGGCCGGCTGGTTGCAGATCTTCCTCTTCATCGGCACGTACGAGGTGGCCTACGCGGAGAAGCCTGGGGAGCCGGGCAATTTCGGCAAGGGCAACTTCGGCCTCTTCGGTGGTGTCGCCGACTCCGCCAAGAGGACCCGCGGCCTGAACTCCGAGATCGCGAACGGGCGCCTGGCCATGATGGCGATCATCGGCATGTTCTACCAGGACGGCCTCACCGGGTCCGCCTGGGGCGACTGGGACCTCTACACGGCCTCTCCGCTGCGCGCCTTCGAGAACGAGCTGGGCGTGCAGGCCCCCCTCGGCTTCTGGGACCCTATCGGCTACACCGCCGACGGCGACGAGGCCGCGTTCAAGCGCCGCCGGGCGACCGAGCTGAAGCACGGGCGCATCTCGATGCTGGCCGCCATGGGCTACATCACGCCCGAGCTCGGGTTCAAGTTCTCGGGCTACCTGTCCCCCTCCATGGGGCTCAAGTTCGCAGACGTCCCCAACGGTCTGAAAGCCGTCTCCGTGGTGCCCGCGCTCGGCTGGGCCCAGATCATCGCCTACATGGCGTTCTGCGAGGTGTCCCAAGACCAGAAGCCAGGCACTAAGGCCTGGGCGGGCGACTTCGGATTCAAGGTGCTCACGTCTTCCGACCCCGAGACGCTGAAGAAGAAGCTCTCTGCGGAGATCGCCAACGGCCGCCTGGCCATGATGGCCATCATTGGCATGTTATTCCAGGACTCGATGAGCAATACACTGCATGTATGCATCTGTACAGAATGTATGGGGCACACACTTTCGCATCTCGTCGCGATTTCCTTGGATCGGCGCTGGGCTCACTGCGCCGATCCAAAACTTCGCGCGGAGCTCCGAAAGCTTATGTTGCTGGAGTTGTTTCTCCCTCTAAGGACGGCCTCACCGGGTCTCCTTGGGGCGATTGGGCCCTCTACACGGACTCGCCGTTGCGCGCCTTCGAGAGCGAGACGGGGGTGCAGCCGCCAGTGGGCTTCTGGGATCCGCTCGGCCTTTCAGGCGACGGCAGCGCCTTCAACTTCTCGCGCCGGCGCGAGGTGGAGCTGAAGCACGGGCGAGTGTCGATGTTCGCCACGATCGGCTACATTGTCCCCGAGTACTACAAGCTGCCCGGCTTCCTGTCCCCATCATACGGGATCCAGTTTGCCGAGGTGCAAGGGGTCGACGAACGCGTCTTTTTGACAATCTCGTTGATTGTTTTTGTTTTTCGTCCAAACAGTGCTTGCAATTAGGGGCTCTTCCTTCTGAGGAACTGGGCTGGTGTGACGGTCCAGCGGCTACGCTACCGCCTTCGCTGCCCCGTCGCCGCCTCGTCGCCGTCCGTCGTCTGGGCCGGTGTGGCATTCTGGCGGCTATGCTGCCGCCGTCGCTGCCCCGTCGCCGCCTCGTCGCCGCCCGTCGCCTGGGCCGGTGTGACGTTCTGGCGCCTATGATGCCGCCGTCGCTGACCCGTCGCCGCCCGTCGTCTGGGCCGGTGTGGCGGTCTGGCAGCTACGTAGTTGACGCCTCGCCGCCCTGTCGTCGCCCACATAGTTGGATTGCACACCAAGTGGATTGGACAACATATGTTGCGCACCACATAGAATAAATAGCCTGTTTAACCGAGAACAAGTATGAATCCCCCGCAAGGATTAACCGCACACCCTGGGGGATGGGCAGTTTACATCTGGTGGTGCCCCATCGTCCCTCCTAGATCTGAACGCGCACCATCCCGAAATCAACACCTCCCCAGATCATCCCTTGCCAAAAATAGATGACCTAGCACACGCGTTTATGTTTCAATCGTCCCTTGTCAATCATGGGACGAAGTGTGCGCGCGCGCGTCATCCCGCGCGCATGCCGGAATCCTTCAATGACTTGTTCGTTGTACAAGGATTTCAACATCGAGCGCCCCGAAAAATATATGAAATTGAGTTTTGTTTGCGCGATCGCCCTTGCGAATGCAACATGTTCATCAAATTCGACCAAGCGGGCCTTTCGCGCGCATGTCGAAATCATTCGAACGCCCTTGCGCGCCTGCTGGGGGGGCACGATCCCTCGTTAAATAATACATACCTTGCGGGCCCCTTGCCCAGGTCAGCCGCGCGAACATGTAGTTGTTATCCTCTCCAAAGCCTTCGTCACCGACACGTGGACACCATGATGATCATCATCATCATCATCATCATCATCATCATCATCATCATCATCATCATCATCATCATCATCATCATCATCATCATCATATTCGGCGAGATCAGCATCGGTGCCGTCATTTGCCATGCCGTCGTCATCGTCATCGTCGCCACCAGCGTCGCTGCCGTTATCGACGTCGCCATGATACCGCGCCTGCCCGAGTCACCGACTTACATTGAAATGCCCGCGCGTCAGCGCGGCCTGTAGGACGCATTGGGAAGCCCCCCGCGGTCAGCGCCATAACGCCGCGGGGGTCGCGCCAGACTAGCTGGCCGCTCTGCGCGCGAGCCTGCGCGCGCTAGCTTGGCCGCGGTGGTGCACCAGCCAGCGCCAGGCAACCATCGCAACTGCTGCCTCATCGGTTTTGATAACGAGGTTTCGGGTAGGTGGGTGGGACATTTGCGCGAGCAGTGGGGTGGTCAACTCACCAGCGAGCATTTGTGAATTGCACCACGATGGTTGTACAACATATGCATCCTTTTTTGACTAGGGAAAAGGATCTCCCCCCCGGAGTATACGATCCCCCATCGAGATATGGATTGTGATGTGCGTAGGATCCTGCGTCCCATCGCCCATCCGAAATATGAATCCATACCATCCCAGCCGAGCCAGTATCGACCCCCCCCCCCCGCCATCCACCGCAAGAAATAGTAAGCGCGCGCTCGCGTTTGTCAAGCATCATTAGTTTTCAAGGACCCCTTAGACAATGAGATGAAGCGCGCACGCGCGGTAGCGCGCGCATGCCGACACCTCGTCAAGCACTTGACGTTTCGTAGGGGTTTCAAAATCGAGAGTCGCGAACCTATCTGAAACATACATGGTTGTGCAATCAGAGTTTTCGACAGAAAAACATGCATTTGTGTTCCAGCGAATTCCTGAAACAAAAACCAGGGGTTTCTTTACATGTTCAAAGAAGTCTCGCGCGCGTGCCGACTTCGTTCGAACGCCTTTGCGCGCGTGTTGCCGCGAAAACCCGCTGCACCAAAGGATACGAAGTGCGCACGTGCACGTCGTGTCGCGCGCGCATGCCGAAATCGTTGGGACACTCTCGGTTGCGTAAGGGTTTCAAGACCGAGTGCCCCGATTCTCGTTAAATATGTATATATTTTTATCATCACACAACGAACACGTGGTTTTGCAACCCCATTCTAGGACAAACATCTTGCGCTCGCGCCCGTGCGGATTTTCCAGGAAACCATCGATTGCCCAACATCCAATGCTGCCAAACGGTCCTCTCGCGCCGCATGTCGAACTCATTCGAACGCCCTTGCGCGCGTGTTTTGGGGGTGGGGGGGGGGGCACGGCCCGCGTCAAATAATACCACGCGGGCCGCGCGCATGTCGAACCCCTTCAGGAGACGGTATCACCGACGCGAAAACATCGCCATCGCTATCGGCGGGCATGATCGACATCGGCGCCGTCATTGGCCTTGTCGTCGTCATCGCCAACTTCGTCACCATCGCCGCTCTCATTACCGTGTCTACCTTTGTCGGCATCGCCATGATACTGCGCCCGCCCCAGCCACCGACTCGGTCTGAAGCGCCCGCTGGGGAGTGCCAAGCGGTCACTCGCCGCCGCATGGACTTTGCAAACCTTGTTGCGGGTGGGCGGGCGGGATGTTCGCAAGAACGTGGGATGTAGCAGTTCGTTTGTAGCAGACATGTGCACCACATACACACTCTGTTTTGAAAGGGTATGCGGTTCTCTCCCAGCCCAGCCCGTATCGCCCCCTGGCCAGCCTTTGCAACAAATGCTATGCGCGCGTTCGCGTCTATGATAAATCATACGTTTTTCAAAGAGCCTTTAGTACACATTGCACACTTGTGATGGGGTGCACGCGCGCGCGCCGTCGCGCGCGCATGCCGACATAATTAAACATCAACTGCCCCGGACACATTTAACAGACACGGTTTTGCAACGCAGTCTGTGTCAAACTCGACCACGCGGGCCAATCGCGCGGGTCGGCCGCGCGGGCATGTCGAACTCTTTCAGCCTTCGTCACCGACGCGAAGACGTCGTCATTTTTACCGGCGGGCGTGATCGACATCGACACCGTCATTGGCTTTGTCGTCGTCATCGCCACCTTCGTCACCATCGCCGCTCTCATTACCGTGTCTACCTTTTGTCGGCGTCGCCATGATACTGCGCCCGCCCCAGTCACCGACTCGGTCTGAAGTGCCCGCTGGGGAGTGCCAAGCTGTCAGTCGCCGCCGCTTGGACTTTGCAAACCTTGTTGCGGGTGGGCGGGCGGGATGTTCGCAAAAACGTGGGATCTAGCAGTTCGTTTGTAGCGGCCAAGTGCACCACATAGATATTGCTTTGAAAGAGTATGCGGGTGTCTCCCCCCGGAATTGACGGCCCCCTTCTTGCACATTGCAATTTTCATACCTCGCCACCGCACCTTCGCTACCATCACTAACTTCAGAATCGTGTCGACCGATGTCGGCGTTGCCATGATACCGCGCTCGCCCAACTTACCGACTCGCACTGAAATGCCTTTTGGGGGAAGCGCAGCGGTCAGCGCCACCGCGGCCGCGTTGGTCGCGCCAAGGTAGCTGGCCGTTGTGCGCGCGGCCGCGTAGTTGCACCAGCCAGCGCCAACCACTCATCGCAATCGCCACCGCACGGGTCTTGCAAACCAAGTTGCCGGCGGAAGGGTGGGATGCTTACAGAGGCGTGGATGTTGTGAATTCGTTTGTGAACGTCGATAGCATGGTCTGGACTGCGACACGCCGGTTGTAGGTTGTTCGGCACGTGTTTTGTGCACCACATACATTGCTCCACGTGCATTGCAATCTATAGCACGTCCAGTACAAAACAGTCATTGCACCACATAGTGTGCGCCACATGGATTGTTCCACGCAAGTTGCACAATACACACCACGCCATTTAGATTGCACCGTGTTGCGCTGCGTATACATACTGGAGCACCGGGGCCCGGGCTCCCTGGGGCCGCGACGTCTACCACCAGTGTGTGTGTGTGTGTGTGTGTGTATGTGTGTGAATGAGTGCGAATGTGTGTGAATGTGTGTGTGTGTGGGTGTGTGTGTGTGTGTCCAGGCCCTCGGGGGGCCCCACAGGCCCACGACACGCCACCAGAAAATGCCAAGATAACCCACAGACGCGCCAAGAGGGACCCACGACGCCCACAGGCTGCTCCAAGACGCACAGGCCGTTCCGAGACGCACAAGGTGGCCCCGAAGAACCCCCAAAAGGCCTCCCAAACGCCTCCTGTGACGTTCCCACAGGCCCCCCAGGAGGGCCCCCAAAAACACAATTCGCTCCGTTCCCTTAAGGAAACGTGTAAGCGATCCACGATAATGATTGTTTATGCCCCCCGCCTGGTTGTTCACGGCACTTTTTTTCGGGAGGGTCATTCAATGAATGGCCGCAGCCTTCATCGACGCGGGCAGTCGGTTGGTAGCGACGGAAATTAGGAGGGCACGCGACCGGGGCCTCGTTCAGCGGCAGCGGCAGCGCGTGCGACTGCAGCTGCCACCTCGACGCATCGCCCGACGAGGCATTGATCGGGATGCTGAACGGGCAGCTCGACAGGTGCGGCCCCGAACGCTTCCACGGGCAGCCAGCGTTCACCCCCGCGTACCATCAGCAGGGCCACACGAGCATGGAGCCGGGGCTCGCGCTGGCGCTTGGCCTTGTCGCTGGGGCAGCGGTCCGCGAGGTGACAGGCCTTGCCTGCTGGCGATGCGCCCAGGAGCAGACCCCGCCGCATGGCGGCATCACGGACGGCCAAGGCGCTCGAGCTTTCGCCTGGGCACGCGGGTCCTCGCCTATTACGATTGCGAGGACAACTGCTGTCATGAACGATTGCTGGTTGGACGCATTACCCCGATTAGGTGGGTTGTTGCCACGCCGCACTTTGACATCTACGAGGGGAGCGTCTCAGAGGCGGTGCACCTTTGCCTGGTGGGCCCGCTCGGCGGATTGCCTACCAAGCTGCCTGGCCAAATGCCCC